TCTGCTTCAGATGATCGATCAATCATGATCACGATGTGTCCCAATAATTTCCCATCGATTCAGGATTCTCAACATATCCAAAGAAGCGTTCCGCACGGGCTGCAGAAACGAAGGCTGCCAGACATTCCTTGGAAATCCTAAACCACATCCTGAGCCAATCCAATCGCGGCATCCTCCTTCACCCCACATACCCCACCACCTCCTCGCGGAGCCTCGGTTCTCGATCCTCGGTCGACGACGACGACGACGACAACAACGAAAAGACGACGACGACGACGACGACGACGACGACGACGACGACGGCGACGGCGACGACGACGGCGACGGCGACGGCGACGGCGACGGCGACGGCGACGGCGGCGGCGGCGGCGGCGGCGGCGACGGCGGGCCCCGGTGTTCGAGCCGTTGCCGCCCGCTTCGGCCCAGGCTGCCACGGCTGCGAAGCCGCACCTGCCTCGCGCTGCGCCGCGCGCGGCCCGCGGCGCGACGGGCCATCGCGACGCACCCGCGCCTCCGCGGCGCGCCGGGCCTTCCGCTCGCGTAGGCGCAGCCTGCGCGCGGCGGCCAGTGGCCCGAGGCCGGCGCGCCGGGGGTTTCCCGCGCGCGGCGCGCGCGACGGCCGCCTCCGCCGCCGCGGTGGCAGCGTCGGAACTGGCGGCGCGGGCTCCCGCCGGGCGTTTCGGGCCGCCTCGGCTACGCGCAAGAGTGGCACGGCTCAAAGGCAACGGTATGGGGGATAGGCATACACGCTAGTCGTTGAAAGCAGGTACGTCCCTGTGCACATATCCTAATCTCTTTCAAAGCGCCTTCCTATTTCAATCGTCGACATGATTTTGCTGTTTTTGCTGTTCCCTGGGCGGGCCCGAACGCAATCTACTTGACCCGCTTTCCTACTTCAAGTTTCCACGTATTTCTTACGACTTGCGGGCAGGGGGGATACATCGACCCCCAATCGCCTATTGATCGCCGATTGGGATCTGATAGTCCCACCCCGCCCAGGAACGTGCGGATTCGCTACCAGGGGCCCATAGCCGATCTATCGGCGACGTATCGTCGATGCCAAGTCAATGTTCCTCCTACTATGCCAGTCCTCCCCTATTGCTGCCCATCATCACTGGTGAGCGACGCAAGAAACAGGGTTCGGTTGCGCGGACATTCATGCGCAAGCTGCGCGCGTAATGCCGCGAAAAAGTGCCGTCGTTCTCAGTGCAGCGTGCTGCGCTGGCGGCCGGCGCAAGACACTGCGAAAGGTCGCTGCGTCATATCGCGTAAGAGCCGTTTTTTTTGTCGCCCAGGTGTCTCCCCAGCATGGGCTTGCGCGCTTGGATTCGGCGCTCCCACGGCCTCCTAGAGATGCGCACCAAAGGTCGCAGCTGCCGAGGGTCCCTCAGATCGGGCGTTGCACAAGCATTGCAACATCGCAAACCATTGCTGTCTGAGCCCTAGACCCCACCCTTCTGCGCCATTCTTGGAACCTGATCGACCCGAAAGGGTCCCGGGTCCCGAAACAGGCCGAAAGCGCCCGTGGTGCAAAAGCTGGGGCACCCAGATCTCGGGAAGTATCGCTCTTGCGTGTAGCGTGCCTCCGCTCTCGTCGGCCGCCTGCGCCCCTGCTGGCGCGGGGGGCGTTCAGGCAGGCTTCGGATCGAGATGATTGGGCCCAGGGCGCTCCGGAGCGCTCCGAGACGACCGCGGTGCTCCGGATTGCTCGGAGATTTCTGACCCAGACATGCGATGTCCTGATTTAGTGCTATGCGCGGTCCCCCGAGAGCCCGACCCTTTCCCCAGGGCCGGCTTGTCCTTCTGAGTCGTTGTTTGACGGTCCCGAGGCCTGGCGAGGGTTTCCGGGGGCCTTTCAAATGGCCAAGAACTTCCGCCCTGATTTTTGCTACGACGCGAGCATGTCTGGGGATGTATTTCGCTCCGATTTTGGTCTCGATCCCTGCCTTCGTCTCAGGGCGCGGCCGCCCAGCTCGCGGCGGCGGCCGCCGGTGGCCGCCCGCGGCCTGCGCCCTGCTCGCCGGCGGCCGCCGCCCTCACTGGCGCGGCCCTCTCTCGGAAGCGACGACGGGGGCGAAGAGCCCCGGGGGGTCGCAGCACAGTGGGACCGAGTAGTATGAGATCGACGTCGGTTCGGGGAGGGTGCCCTAGTGTTTTTCGTGCTTGTGGGGTGTTTTTGTGCATCCCGGGGGAGGGTACCCTCGGAGGCTCTTCAGTTTTGGCCGGCGGAGGGTCTCGTGCTCTTGAGGGATGCTCGTCTGGCCGAGGTCCGACTGTACTCGGCGTTCCTCCAACATACTCATACTATGTGTGCTTCTCCCCCCAAGGGCGACGCGCGCACCGAGAAATCTTATAGCATCTGCGTCGTGGCGGGCGCTTCCAGGCCACACCGCTCGGGAAACGATATCTTACAATATGGGTATAATATGTTCGGGTAGGACGCGCGCCTCCAAGGAGGACATATCGTACCCATGTCTCTGTGCGTCCCATGTACGTTTTTTTTCGCGGCGCGGCAGGGCCAATCCGCCCGCACGTTCGAGCTGAGGGGGCGCTCGGCACAGGAATCGTCCGGCTGCAGGAGGAAGAAAGTGCCGAAGCGTCTTGGCTCGCCTATAGCTCCACTAAATAATGTTTAAGAACGCTTTGTAGTTTCAACGAAATGTTCTGAGATTATGCCTGGCTGAGACTGTCTTTGTTCAACATATCGGGTTTATGTTCTAAGAATATTGGTCTGGCCCGTAAGAACATGTGGGGTTTCTCAGGACATTGCGTGGCAGGACTATAGGAATGCCGGGACAGTCGGTCCCTGCTCAAGAGAAGGAGGAGGGCAGTCACCGCGGAGAGGATCTCGGGATGAGCGCGCTGGTGCGGCCAGCCGGGGCTGAAGTGGCTTGGCAGCGGGGGGGCACACACTACATTTACTTGACTTCGGGATGTCTTTAGTTTTGAAGAACCCCCCTGTTTCTCTTGCTGGTGAACAAACTCGCCCCTCCTGCTCCGCCTCCTCCTCCTCACCTCCTCTTCCTCCTGCTCCTGCTCCTCCTCTGCCTCTTCCTCCTCCTCCTCACTCCTTCTCCTCCTTCTCGTCCTCCTCCTGGACCTCCTCGCGGTCGTTATCGTAGTCGTCGTCGACGTCTTCGCCGTCGCGGCGGAGATTAGTTTCTTTTATTGTCGGGCGAGGAATAATCCATTGTGGGATCCCTTACGCGCGAGAGGATGTGCGAGCATCTTCTCATGAGGATTGCAATAGAAATCAGTGCTTCTGGCTGTAGTCGTGATTGTAGTCGTGGTTGCAATCGTGATTGTAGTCGCGATTGTAGTCGTAATCTTAGTTGCGATTGTAGTCGTAGTCGTCTTCGTAGCCGCAGTCGTAGACGTAATCGTCGTTGTCGTCGCGGCGGAGATTCTGTTCAATCTATTGTCGGGTGCGCTGGATAGGGGCGTTCTGCTCCCAGGGAGTAATGCTCCCTGGGCGATCCTACACGACAGATGAATGTTGAGCACGTTGGTAAGAGGATTACAATATAGATCGACACAAAAAAGGCAGGGCTCACAAACTCCTCTTTCATTTCGTTGTCGTCGCCGTGGTTGTGCGGCGGGTGCCGCGGAAAAGTTATAATTTCTCACTTTTGGCGGGACCCCAGTTCGACCAGAAATTGGATTTGTTTCCATTGTTGGAGGGGGTCTGAAGACCTATCGCGGTTAAACAGACATGCTCGCGTCATGAGAAAGCCATGGCCGGTTTTTTCCTCCTGTTTTTGGCATCTTGGGCCCGTTATAAGGCCCCAGGGCCGGTCTTGGGAAATGGGTCGAGACCTTTGGGGTCGAACGTATGAACAGATCATGGCGTCGGGGGTCCAGGTCTTGGTATCCAAGGGAGCCGATGCTCCACGTCTTCGGCGGCGAAGCTCCCAGAAGGATACAGTCAACGTTGACAGTCATCATGAGCGACTTTCCAAGGGCTCCATGAATCATTGCCTTTCGGCTCATCCTTGGCCACTTTGGCTGGCCGCGCCCCACTCGACAAGTGTGTGCATGGCCTTCCAAGGCCCTTGCATCCTCATCGCGCATCCTTGCTATCAGTGTTGACTGTACGTGCAGTGCCCGCCCCCGGGCTCTTCGCCACTAGCTCTGCCACGCGCACAGGGGGGCGGGCGGAGGGGCTCAGGCTTCTTGGAAGGAGGCTGCTTATTAGAAGGCGCGGGCCTCATCTATATCAAGATCAGGCCCGCGCCTCTTAAGAGGCAGCCTCCTTCGCAGAAACCGTCACCCCTCCCCCCTGACCCCTCGCGCGGGCCGGAACAAAGTGATGGGCTTGTCTTCCACCACCACCACCACCACCACCACCACCACCATAATCAGAGGCGACGATAGGGGCGAATAGCCCAGGGGAGAGCAATACATGTATTCAGGTGCGCCGATGATTTATGTCTTTGAAAAGGTTCCCGGGCGAATACGTGTAATGCCCGCCCCTGGGCTATTCGCCCCTATCGTCGCCGCCCGCATAAGTTGGAGGGGGGAGGGGGTCCGCCTCCTCTTCCTCTTACTCCTGCTTCTCCTCATCCTCCACCTCCTTCCCCCCTCGTGCGTACAGACACACGAGCTGTCTGTGCTACCTGCCTCTGCTAGCCGCAGCGCCACTCTTTCGCGACAGCCGCCAGGTTCCACGCGCGTGCAGTCCAAAAAATCCTCCAACTTCTGGTGGTGGTGGTGGAACACAAGCCCATCAAGTACACCTTAGGCGATGCTTAAGAAAACTTCAGTTTTCGGCCAGAGTCTCGATTATTCTTACTGTTTCAATGTAAATCCTAAGATTTTAATGGACATGTTGGGTTTTTTATTCAAATTCTGAGACTATGAATTTCTTAACCCATGATTTCTTAAGCATTTCGCAGGGTGTACTGCCCGCCCCCTGGGCCCTTGGCCCCTGCCGTCGCCTCCGACTCTCGCTGGCGGCCTCCACCCTCGCCGCGCCCGGCGTGCTGCTGGCGCGCGCGCAGGCGCGGGCGGCGCAGCCCGCGGAGCCGCTGCGGCTCTCGTTCTGCGGCGTGCTGGCCGCGCTGCCGCCGCCCGACGCCGTGGCCACGCTGCGGGCGTCGCCGCTGCTCAGCAGGAGTCGGAGGAGGAAAAGCTATACTCTGGGTTTCTCCTCCTCCTCCTCCTCCTCCTCCTCCTCCTCCTCCTCCTCCTCCACACCTCTCCAGGGCCCAGATTGGGCCTGGCCACCAGCGGAGGACATGTGTATATCTCGTCGCCCTGTGTGGGAAACCCTCGAGGACTGGAAAAGAAGCATACTCTGGGTTTCTTAAAAGCGCGGGGGAGTACCCCCCCGACGGTGGTCCACCTCGCCTCGTCGTCGTTCCGCGACGGGGGTCGGAGCGCCTTCGGCGCGCGGTGGCTGTCCGCGACGGGGCGTCGATGTGGGGCTGTCGGCGGGGGTGACGCCCCCCCGACGCTTGTTAAGAAACTCGGAGTGCCCATGCTGCTGCCCTTCGCCCGTGTTCCCCTGTCTGGGCCTCCTGGGAGGCCCTCGTCGCCACTGCTGGATTCGCCTATGGGAAGTCTTGTCAGTGAGCTCCCGGGGAGAGGTCCGGGTGATGTTTTCAGGACGGCGTCCCCGGAAGTCCAGACCCTTTACCTGAGGCCGGTTTTTCATCCTGAAGCGTTTTTTGACGGTCCCGGGGCCCGGCAATGGCCTCTAGAGGTCGAAAATGGCGATAATGCTCCGTCTGGGTTTGGGGGGAGGAGCAGGAGGAGGAGGAGGAGGAGGAGGAGGAGGAGGAGGAGGAGGAGGAGGAGGAGTTTTGACGACGCGATCATGTCTGGGTTTGGGTTGCCCCCAGGAGCGTGCCGCTCGGGCTGCTGGCTGCGTGGCTCGGAGCGGCGCGCGAGCTGCTGGCAGTCGGCAACGACGACGGCCACCTCCGAGTCGTGTGCCCCGGGGGCGGCGAGGTGGGGAGCGTGCAGCTGCCGGCCCGCATCGACAGCCTCGCGTGGGACCCACAGGGCACGAGGCTGGCGTTCCAAGTCGGGCGTGTCCTTCTGCAGGAGGCATGTGCAAAAATACTTCTATAGATGAGCATGTGTTGTCTATCTTCAATGTTTCCTCCAAAGCCCGCCTCTAGGAGGACATGCCCGACCTAAGGCTGGCGGTGGGCTGCGATGACGGCGGGCTGCGCGTGCTGAGCCTGCCGGCGCTGGGCCGGAGCGTGGAGGCGCTGGCAGCGCACAGCGGCCCTGTCAGCATGGTGGAGTGGAGCCCCAGCGGGCGGCAGCTGGCGACGGGGTGCCAGGCCGGGGACTGCCTGATCCGGGTCGTGGACGCCCTCACAGGCGAGGTGCTGTGCCAGAGCGAGCTGCAGCAGCCGCCGGCTGCGCTGGGCTGGTGCTGCACGGGCAGCAGCCTTGCCGCGGTGGCCGAGCGGTGGGTGCGGGCCGGGCGGCGCAGGGCTGCGGACTCCGTGCTGCACCTCATCTGCGCCCGCAGCGGCGAGGCGCGCAGGCTGGACCAGGGCGGCCCGATTGTGTCGGTGGCCTACAACTTGAACGGGCCAAGGATAGCGATCGGCACAGAAGACGGCTGGCTCAGGGTCGTCGACACCACAGCGTGTGTGGAGAGGTGGGCCATCCGGTTGCGCAGCCGCGTCCGGCCAGTGATGTGGGACCCTCGAGGCAAGAAGTTGGCGGCTGCCTGCTCGAGGTCCCTCTTCGACGAGACCAGCACCGCGGCTTCCACGCCCGCGACACTCTACATCGTAGACGCCGAGTCTGGCGCCATGGAGCACAAGCTGGACCACGACAGCGTCGTCCTGGCCGTGGCGTGGAGCCACACAGGACGCCCTTAGCTGCCTCGATGCGGCCGTTTCGATGCGCAACACGTGCCGGGCTCAGAATGTCCGTGCCAATACGTTGCGCGTTGGCTCAGCGTATTGGCCCACATTTGGGCGAGCCTATCGCGTCAGGCCTACGTTTTCAATCGCAGGCGATGTTTCTCCCCCAATCCCCGAGTTTCGCCCAAAAAGTTTGGCCGCTCAGAAAAATGGAAAAACCTTGGGATACACCCCAAGGGGGCTATTCGGACGCACCCCTATCGAGGATGGGCACCCCCCCATCGTATATCCCAGGGTTGGGCCCCAAATTTCTGGTCCATTCGGAAACCCCACGAAGCCTGGGATAGGGGTCGACGTATCCCTTGTTATTCAATGTACTTGTTGAGCTCCGTGTCAGCACGCGTCCTGTTGCGTGTTGCGTATCGTGGCAGCGAAGAGGACGCCACATCGCGGCGAGCTGCATCAGGTCGGGTATAGCCGGAAGGGGACCCAGTTAGTGATTGAGCCCCGAAATCCCAACTTTGGATTTGAATCACCAAGCCAGGTCTGCCGTAGCTGGTGTTTTCGGGTGACGGCAGTTCCGCTTTGTGAAATGGGGCGGGGGGGTGTTCCCTGGTATATACCACTAAACCAGGTCCCACTAAACATAGTCCTGCCGACGCCCGATCAGGGACTCCATCATCCGCATCATGGACGTGGTCTCTGGCAGCATGGTCCGCCAGGTCGGCCACGATGGCGAGGACGTCCGGCTGGCATGGTCGCCAGTCTCCTGCCAGCTCGCCACGGTGGAGGCGCGCACCAGCAGGGTCCAGCGCGTCCACGTCACCGACCCGCAGTCCGGCGTGGCGGTCATGCGGCTCGACGTGCGCCTGCAGGATTCGAAGAAGGGATCTCGACTGCAGAATTGATTTACCCGCAAACAGGTGTTACCGTCCAGCCCATGGGACTTGCGTAGAACGCTCGTGGGTCTACGAACGTTGCACGCATCTTATGTTATAGATTCGACGTGGGACTGAACCTTAGGGTAAATCAAATCTGTAGTCGACCCCCTACTCGGAGGATGGCTCGGATAGTCGCGGATGGACTGGCGAGCTCGTGTCCTGGAGCCCCACCGGGCGGCACTTGGTGGTTGTGTGGAGCGTCGACGGGGTCAGTTGCCGCGAGCAGGTGAGGATCGTCGGTGTGCACGGGGGCGCTCTGCGGCAGGACGTGGAAGTCAATGACCACGTGCGTATGTTGGCTTGGAGGCCTTGAGGTGCACTGCGCGCATGAAAACTCCCCACCAGGACTCTACTAGAATTATCCCGGCAACGTAACCTAACAGCGATGTGTATAAGCATACCTGGAAGCATTCCCCTTAAGATTCAGGTGAGAATCCAGTTGTAGAATTCTGCTGTTCTCGCAGTCGCGGTCGCATTCGCAATGACAGTCGCAGTGGCAACGGCCTTAGGGTCCAACGGAATCCTAAGGATTCCTAGGGATTCATAAGGCATCCTTAGGAATCCTTAGGAAACCTTAGGAATCCTTAGGAATCCTGCTTCCTAGGGATTCCTGGGGGATTCCCAAGGATTCCTAGGGAATCCTAAGGATTCCCAAGGATTCCTGAGGATGCTTACCTATGCCTACGGATTCCTAAGGATGCCTACGGATTCCTAAGGATTCCTAGGGATTCCTACGGATTCCTATGGATTCCTACGGATGCCTCAGCCTGCCTGAGTTTCAGCCTCAGCCTCAGTCTGCCTCGGCTTGCCTCAGCCTCAGCCTCAGCCTGCCTCGGCCTCAGCCTCAGCCTGCCTTAGCCTCAGCCTCAGCCTGCCTCGGCCTCAGCCTGCGTCAGCCTCAGCCTCAGCCTGCCTCAGCCTCAGCCTCAGCCTCAGCCTCAGCCTGCCTCGGCTTGCCTCAGCCTCAGCCTCAGCCTGCCTCGGCTTCAGCCTGCCTCGGCCTCAGCCTGCCTCAGCCTCCCCTCCTCCCCCCCCCCCTTCCCCCCCCATTCAGTCTCAGCTTCGGCCTGCCTCGGCCTCATCCTCAGCCTCAGCCTCAGTCTCAGCCTGTCTCGGCCTGAGCCTGCCTCGGCCTCAGCCACAGCCTGCCTCAGCCTCAGCCTGCCTCAGCCTCAGCCTGTCTCAGCCACAGCCTGCCTCAGCATCAGCCTCAGCCTCAGCCTCAGCCTGCCTCGGCCTGCCTCGGCCTCAGCCTCAGCCTGCCTCGGCCTCAGCCTCAGCCTCAGCCTGCCTCAGCCTCAGCCTCAGCCTGCCTCAGCCTCAGCCTGCATCAGCCTCATCCTCAGCCTGCCTCAGCCGCAGCTTGCCTCAGCCTCAGCCACAGCCTCAGCCTCAGCCTCAGCCTGCCTCAGCTTCAGCCTCAGCCTCAGCCTGCCTCGGCTTGCCTCAGCCTCAGCCTCAGCCTGCCTCGGCCTCAGCCTCAGCCTCAGCCTGCCTCAGCCTCAGCGTCAGCCTCTCAGCCTCAGCCTGCATCAGCCTCAGCCTCAGCCTCAGCCTGCCTCAGCCTCAGTCTCAGCCTGCCTCAGCCTCAGCCTGCCTCGGCGTGCCTCAGCCTCAGCCTCAGTCTGCCTCGGCCTCAGCCTGCCTCGGCCTCAGCCTGCCTCAGCTCGGGCATTCAAAATATGCCACAGGACTGGTAATCTGGGATCACGAAGATCACGAAGTGGCCCACAGCTGGCTCCGGGCAGTCAAAATATGGTACAGGAATGGTGTTCTGGGAGCACGAAGGACACGAAGTGGCCTACAGCTCGCTCCGGGCATTCAAAATGTGGCCTGGGAATGATGTTCTGGGAGCACGAAGAACACGAAGTGGCCTACAGCTGGCTCCGGGCATTCAACATTTTGCCTGGGAATGGTGTTCTGGGAAGACGAAGAAAACGAAGTGGCCAAGTGGCCTACAGTTGGTAGTTGGTTCCGGGCATTCAAAATGTAGCCTGGGAATGGTGTTCATGGGAACGCGAAGAGTAGGAATCCATAGGAAACTATAGGAACCTATAGGAGTCCTGGGGAGTCCCCGGCTTCTCCCGGCACCCGCCCAGACCCCCCTGGGGAGTCAAGATGCTTTCTTTTGAGTCCACTAGAAACCTATCAGTCTTCGCTGTTAAGTAATTGCAATTGCAAGTTCCTGCATGAACATCAGTTTCGGAGCTCCGCGCGGATTTCTTGGATCTGCGCTGGAGCCCCCTGACGGTGCCGCGCCTTGCGCGCTCCGCGCGCCAGGGAGGGGGCTCCAGCGCCAAACAAAGAAACCCGCGCAAACTTCAGAAAGCTTCTATGTTTATGCAGATGATTGTTTCTTTAACCATGACTCCACCACCAGGATCCCGCCACCCGGCCCCCACCACAAGGACCTTGCCAAAGTTCCACCAGACCACCCTACCAGAACATTGCCAGCACAAAAGCAGGGCCATGATATGGCCTCGACAAGACACTACAGTACGTAGCGAACCGGGAGGAGCAGTTGCGTGCATGGAGGGCCCCCGCAAGGGCTAGTCCAACAGCAGCCCGCCACGGCACCACCAGGACCGAACAAGGGTTGTCCCAGGACCGTATTAGAACTCTGGCAGGCCCCCACTTGAATCAGGACAGTATCATGACCTTGCCACGACCATACCAAGAGTTTTTCCCAGGAGCTTGCGAGGACATTACTGGGACAAGTAATTGACGTCAGGTCGCCGCGGGGAAGGAGCCGAGTGTCCCACCCTGAGGCACAGCGCCGACGTCGACCGTCCATTCCCGCCCAGTTGTCGTGCGTGCCTGCGCTGCGCCATCCCGATCATAGCCCGGCTCCGAGGCTTCTGCGCGCCAGCGAGGGAGGCTCACGACGGAGGGGCCGGAGCTTGGCCTCCCCGGCTGCAGCGCCGCTCTCTTCTCACGATGAGCTCCGGCGAACTCCGCACAGTGCAACCCCTCCCCCTCACCATTAGCGACGCGCAGAAGGGCATGGCGCTGTCTAGCTCGGCACCGCCTGGACGCGTGCCTCTTTTCAGGAGCGAAAGAAGGACGTACATGTACATGAATCCACGCTGGTTTCGAGACCACGCATTGCACAAATGTTCGTATAACGCGGCCCGTCTCGCGAATCGAGGGGCCGTGTTCATGTACATAGCTGGGCGCGTACGTCCTTTGTGGGCTCCCTATCTTTCTCGGCGAGGACCATCGAGGAGCATCCCGGGCCATCGGGCAACACAAAGACACGTTCTGGTCTGCGGGGCGAGAGCGGACCTCTTCCGGTGAGAGCCAGTCGGGCTGCGCACAGCTCCTAATTGGGGGAGGCAGGGGCACAGGCGGGCGGGGCCTCGGGCGGCCGGAGGGCGGGTCGGGGTGCAGGCGGCGTCGAAGAGCTTGCACAGGAAGAGGAACGCCCAAGGGGTCGGCGGATTTTTGCATCCTAGGGTTGTTTTGGGAGGCCTCTTGGAGGCCTCATGTGGCGTCTGGGGGGCATATTGGGCCGTACCATATTGGGCAGCTTGGAGCGATCGTTCGGCAATTCGGAGTGGACAGGAGCCGGAGGCGAAGAGAATGAAGAGCAGCAAGCATATCAGAGCACAATCGGGCAGCAAAGACACGCACGACGTCGAGACGTGCACGGGGAACGGGCGTCCGAGCGACGGCGAGCCAGAGGGCCAGCGCTGGGCCGTGCCTCGTCCTCCGGGGCCTCCTGCGGGGCCCCTGGGGCCACGGCCGGGCGCAGCGCGAGAAGCTCGGCCAGCAGGGGCCCCAGGCGGGTCGTCGGCGAAGAGTCGGCTGGTGCGGCAGAGTTGTCGACCAGACGTAAGAGTGGCCTTTCGCCGAAGTGGCCTTTGGTCCGCGCACGGATGGGCCCCCAGATGGCTGAACGCGAAGCGGTAGCAGCGGCCAGCGCGCCTGGATTTGGCCTCCCCGTGGCCCCCCCAATGTCGCGCACCAACGGTCACTCTTACCCAGGGTCACTCTTGCGTGTAGCCGAGGTTGGCTCACAGTGAAGACCCATGTCAAGAGACATCCTGATTGCCTCCAGGGTGCCCTGGGTTTCCTGGGTTTCGAGGGTTTTGCCACGGAAAGCGTGATGCTCCCACACCAAAAATCAATACACGTCCTGGGGTCTCAGGGTTGGGTTTCTTGTGGAAGGTTTCTTGTGGACTGGCTTCCACTGTATAGATTTGCCCGTTGCTGGTCGGCTTGTGCGGCGCTCTTGGTTTGCCCAGTGATCGTTGCGTTTGCAGTTGCCGACGCGTACGTTTGCTGCACGGCACGCGCCACGTTTGCGAATGCCGAGCGCGCCTTAGTGCCGCAGATTGCATGCGCTGATCTCTCTCTCTCTCTCTCTCTCTTTTTTCTCTCCCGAAGGCCGCTGATTGTGCTGGGGGGGCGGGTAGGTTGCAAGCGCGGTTGTCTCTCTCTCTCTCTCTCTTCCTCTCTCTCCCTCCACCAGTTCCTCTTCCTCTCTCTCTTCCTCTCTCTCTCTCTCTTCCTCTACCTTCCTCTCTCTTCCTCTCTCTCTCTCACTCTCTCTCTCCTTCCTCTCTCTCTAGATTCATCTATCTTCAGTTTCGCCGCTTCCGCGTCCATCGCCATCGCCATCGCCCCGTGTGCTGGTCTGTGAGTGGGTCAGGCTCCGTCCCCGAACCGCCGGTGTCATCGATCTGCTCAACACGCGGGCTCCAGAACCCTCGACCCATGCCTGGGTACCGCTTCTTCGCCGCGGATCGGTTCCTGGTCGCCCTCGGGGCCGAGAGCCGGCCCCGAGAGAAATCAAGCTGTTCGAGAAGCCTCCGTCCTCACTGTCTCGAGGCGTTGGTTGGAGGCCTGGGCCCACCGGACCGTGCCCCTTTTGGCTCGCTCAAGCCTGCCGCTCGGCGCAGGAGCACGCCGCTGCCACGGGGCCCTTGCCGGAGGCATGCCCAGAAAGCCCGGCAAGGAGCAGAGGGGCGCGGCCTTCGCGGGGGCGTCGTCGCAGCTCCTGGGCGCGGCGGGGGGCCCCGGCGCCAGGCTCCCGGCGAAGGCCTCCCACGCCACGGACCTGCTCTTCGGGGCCCCGCACAGGGAGCCGGGCGACGAGTCCCCCGCCTCGGCGTCGACCCGGGCAGGCTCGTCGCCGGGCGCGTCGCCCTGCAGCGCGGCCTCGCACGGGGCCGCGCTGAGCGCGGTGCTCGCGGACGTGGGCGCCGCGGTGGCGAGTGGCGCCAGCCCGTTCACGCCGGGCAGCGGGGGCAGCAGCGCGGCCGCGCGCCCGAGCGGCCCCCGGGCGGCGGCGGAGGGCGCTCGCGGCAG